TATTTTTCTGACTCAAATATTTCATGTCATTTAGTTCAAAACAACAAAAAAGTTATTGCTGTTTATTCTTATTGTTTTTACGGATTTTGATTTCCTACATGTAGACATTACCTTGTTGAATGTTAGTTCATGCTAGTATAAAAAAGTCATATACTAGTTTATTTCCATATCAGTGATATTGTTCTTAAATGAATATCATTTCTTTATGTTCATTATTCTTATTTCATTTTATCTTCCAGTGGGAGAATCATAGTAAATCCTTAAAACTTGAGGAAGAGACGTTAGCGAAAATTCGCGAAAGGATCCAGAACAAGGTGATGGCAGGCACGGGTACTTGGATTGATTGGCAGTACCTTCTAGATGCTGCAGCTCTCCTTGCGAGATGTCGATATACCCTCCAGAACACATATCCCTTTGCCTATTATCTTGAGTCTGGACCCAGGAAAGATCTGGTATGTATATGAGTATATATACCTTTTTATATATGTATCAGCTATATTCTAAATGTATTATTAATTTTGTTAGCTGTGAGATGTTTTACTTCCAAAAAATATATCTAGAAAGGGAAGCAGAGATCCTCATACTCTTTTCCTCCAAGTTAGGGAAGTTCATTCTTTGGTTTGTGAATAGGTAAGAATTTTGTCTCGGAGTTAATAGAAGAAAAAAAGGTGAATCTCCTTTGCCTCTATCTAACATTCTGTTCAAGAAGAGAAAAGAATAAATGCACAATTTGTTTCCGATCTTAATAAATATTTATGTTAATTCCTTTGAACAGTTTGAATACCAGCAAGCTCAACTAGAAGCGGAGATTGAAAACCTTTCTTGGAAGATTGAACGAGCAGAGATGACTGACCGGGGTGACTTGGAGAACCAGATGGACATTGTGGAGAAACGAAGAACTACCCTCCTTACCGACTTCCTACAAGTATGATGTGGGCTGCCCAGATAGCTAGCAGTCTTTCTCTCCTGTGGCTCCCAATTGCAGAAATACTTCCAGTTTGCATACTAGACTTGTTGCACTGAGGTTTTGGAGTACTTCGATGGTATCATTGATGGTCTCCCGTCCCTGAGAGTACATGGATTGGTCAAGTGATTTCTGCGTATCTGTATCTCATTAGTCCTTAATAATTTTGAAGCTTTAGTCGGAGTGGATGTTTGTGTTAAGCCTGGTATTTATGTTTGTGACAATGTACATATTTTTTTAGGTAAAGTCACGAAATATGGTACATAGTAAGACTAGTGAATGGATGCTGAATGCCTTGTAGCTGGATAGAAGTGATACCTGCCAATTTGCTCTTAAAATGTTTTGCCTTTCTTAAAGTATATTTTTTCCAACTGTTTGCAAATGCTTTCAACCTCATCTGGACAGTGAATATATATTTAACATGA